TTAAATTAGGCTATTAGTATTATTTGAAGTTAACATAATAAAATACGTAGACCTACACCACAAAACTATAGTTGAGGATAAATTATTTAAAATTGGGAAAGTCCAGCATTATGGACATGACATTTGCAGTCAAAACTTGAAATACAAATTCTCAGAAAATTCAGGTATTGAAACGTATATAGGCTACTTCCTTAAAGGACTGCAGACATTAGACAAATATCAGTCTATGTTTTATTTTTAATATTAGGGAAAAGACACATTCATGCGTGACAAAAAAATAGGAGGCAAAATACATTTTTTGTAATTCTGTTAATTACACTGCGCAAATCGGATGAGGAAGGGTTGGCTCTCCAGTCTCCATAGAACTTAAAATATTCATTTTATTTTAGTTTTCGTGTTCGCATTTATGAGGAAAAAACAATGACGCGACCGCTCTGAACTGGCACTAAAAGACTGCTTTAAAACTTTCACATAGTCTGTTGCCTTTAAGAAGTAAAATACACTGTAATACAACTGTAATACAAGCCTCACTGAACATGTAACGAGTAAAATATTACTGAAAATTGATTAGTAATGCCTTACACTACTGCGTTACAGCAAAAAGTAATATGTTACTGTAATGTATTACTTTTGTAATGCGTTACTCCCAACACTGGACATTAGACACCATCATAAGACACTGAGGCATGCAGGATGTATGGCAATGAGACAACGTCTCGTTCGCTACGCAGGGAACCGGGTTACATTCGTAACCAGAGACCAGTGTGATGTGTTGTGCACCACTTCCGGCCCCGGGTTGGCTTCATTTTTCAGATTAGAATGTTGCTGCTTGGGCAGAACCCGTCTCAAGCTCCTCTGCCAACTGCATTTGTGAACCCAATGATTTGAGCCGCTGTGCTACAATGGGGTCCTCGGGCTTCCTCCGAGAAAAGAGACAAACATGAGTTGAGCACTGCTTGTGTATTTATGCCTCTGTGTTTTAGTTGTGGTTTGTTGGTCATTGTTGTTGGTTGTTGGTTGATGTTCCTTGTTCCTTGTTCCAGTCCTGAGCTCCATGTCCTTTTGATTACCTGTTTGTTGTTTTAAATTAGTGCTGCATTTGGATTCTCTCACTCCCAAAGACGGGTGATTTATGAAATGTTTTTTTTTTTTGCCATCCCAACTTTTTTTTGACAAACAACAATAAATAAGACAAACTATTTCACATATCCTGAAGACAGCTGAATGTCTAATTTAATAGTCATGTTATAGCCTTTTTATAGTCACAGTCACGCCTTTTAAGTGTGCCATTTCATGTCACATGACTGCCATCAGCCAATAGAATTAGCGTGATTTCACACATGCTTCAGAGACTGGTCATGCGAAGCGTTCCCATAGCGTCAATATTCAATGTTTTAAAGTGAACCCAATGTTTCTTTTTACAATTACAATTACAATATTTATTTAAACAACCGAGGCTGACCAAAGTGACGTATAGGACAGAAAAAAACAAAATAATAATAAAAACTACAAATAGAGGAAAACACAACAATATAAACAATAATTACCAAAATTACGGTAATAATAAAGCAGTATTAAAGGCCAAAGAAAATAAATATGTCTTTAAAGAAGATTTGAAGGAGGAAACAGACGAGGCTAATCTAATGTGGAGAGGTAGACTGTTCCAAAGTTTAGGGCCTGCAGTTGCGAAGGCGCGATCACCTCGCTTTTTAAGTCTAGATCTAGGCACGATGAGTAGACGATGTTATTTTATTACTTCAAAACAACACTGCAATAACACTGATACAGTTGTACCAGTACCTAGAACTATTGCTTACCTAACCCTAATCCTAAAGCTAAAAAAACCACACTGTCACAGTGACAGTGAACGAATTCAAAGCGTGTTTTAAATAGCGTAAAAAAAAAAAGAATAATAACGAAACGCATTATGTGGCGGCCGGTGTTGATTCTGTGCATAGATATGGATTTTGTGGCCCACCGCCACAAATTAGTCTGTGTGTGGTGGGAAACACTGGACTGTTACCCATAGACGTCCATGTTACCATGCTCTCAGTGTTTGATTATTAATGCCTGTGCATCACGCAAGTTGGAAAAGGTTAAGTTCAGCCTCGATTTTGTATCGTCATTAGTAATGTTAAAAGTTGTAAAGAATACCAAATTGAACAAAACATTATAACTGCAAAATTCGAACTTCTAACGGTATTCTCGGTATGGCAAAATCCATATCATGGTACACCATAATACAGGTAGTCACTTTCATACCAGTATAGCGCCCACCCCTACTGGATGGTTGATACAAACTCAGATAAACGCATAACATCCTGGTGTCTCATATGCATGGAACACATAATTCTTATCTATTTCAAACCTGTTCCTCAACCAGATGTCACTCTTTATTATTACAACTCGGCTTGTATTTAACGATGACCCAGGGGTCAAACCAAGAACAAATGTCAATAATGGCTTGAATTTAAGGTCTCCACGACCCAGGGGTCAAACCAAGAACAAGTGTCAATTATGGGTCAAAGGTCAGCATCATTTGTTCACTGTGGATTGACCAAAAAAGATGTCTAAATGCAAAATGGGGACCAGTGGTTCAAAATAAGCTAACCAAAAAGATGTGACACTTGATTAATTTGCAGCAGTGTGAAGCTAAAGAATGACTTTTGATCTTCAAAATAAATAAATTCTAAGAGAAAGACAAAGAGTAAAGGAAAAGCCTTACAATGCACACTTTTCCTCTTGTGAACATGATCTAAAAGTCTCTCAGTATTCATATTCCTAAAATTATCTGCAGTTCTAAAATATGAACATTTAATGTAAACCACAGATAACAAAATACCATTTATTTTTTAAAAAAGACAATAAAAGCATACTTTTCAAACCCCCCAAAAATGTCAAAAAACAAGTTAGTGTACAAACCACAGAACAGCTCTTCTGCAAAAATGGGCATGTTCATGAAGTGTTATCTCACACAAGCTCCACCCTATGCAAACCACCACTGCCTATCCACCCTATGCAAACCACCCCTGATTGCACTCCCTGCTCTTCAGACATTGGGAGGAAGGTTATCTTCAACAATACATGCTGAAGACAGGGACAGGACTGTTACACCCTTGGAAGAAATGCCACTTCTATACATAAAAAAAATGTAAAGCAGTTTAATTATTTAAATGAATGTTTTCCTCACAATTCAATGTAATAGTTTCCAAAACAATTATACAATATTATTGCCAAATGCACTGGACAGAATAGGCTACATTAGACAACAAAGAAATCATTTAAAGGAATAGTTCACCTGAAATTAACCATTTGCTATAGTTTTTTATAAAGTCTTTTGATTCTGAAATTAAATTTTGTATGCACTCAACTATACTTTAAAATCAATGAAAGCTTGTTTCCACCACGGAATATGAAATATAAAAAGGTAATTGCGACTTTATCACACAGTTATGACTTTTTCCACAAGTGGAGTTTAATTCTCACAATTCAGACTTTATTATTCACAATTGCGGGTTTACATCTCGCAATTCAGAGAAAAAAGGTCAGAACTGCGGGCTTAACTCGCAAGTTTGAATCATAAATTCGCAAGTTTGAATTATAAACTTGCAACTGCAAGAAATTCTGACTTTTTTTCTCAGAATTGTGAGATATTAACTTTCAATTGCAAGAAAAAAAAGTCCAATTTGTGAGATAAAATGTCCCAATTACTTTTTCGTCGTTTTTTGTCCCAAGTCAATGGAGTCGGACAAAAACTACGATAAAACCTACTGGAAAGGATCTTTTGCAACGATTTTGTGTGAACATATCATTGAACACAGAACACCCCAGACCACTCGGTGAGTATCACGTCTTTGTAAACTAAAGTTTAATGCGTTTTAGGAAGGATTGTTCCAATGCACCTATGCAACCATTGTGGGGGTGGGGGGGTGCAACCACAGAAACCGAAAATTCTCGGTACAGCAAAGTGTCCAAATTTTGATCTTGTGTCCAAATTTAAATCTTAAAATGTAAAATGTGTCCAAATTTTAATCTTAACCATTCTATTTCATCAGAAACAATCTTAAAACAGGGCTTTAAGCGTAAAATACCGAGCTTGTCCTTTAAGGGATCGAAACTGGCCGGCCCAAAAGTTATGAAAGACGTTGTTAAAATAGTCTGAGTGACTAGAGTGGCTCAATCTTAAGTTTATCAAGCTTCTAGGTTGTACGTCTAGATCCCCCCCCCCCCCCCCCCGATTGCCTCATAGACAGTAAAAGATTGCGTGCTCTATTGTGTGACAGAATGTCCCATGGTCATGACGCAATCTTTAGCCTATTTTTACAAAAACCGCTTCTACGGGGCTGTAACGTAAGATACAAAGTAATGGAGTGTTTGATACATTGTCGTGTTTATTTAGAAATAAATAATGGACAAATTAAGTCTTTGCACGCCTCAGATGTAAAGTTATTTGCTGTCAAAGTAACGCCAAAATGAATGGGAGTCAATGGGATGCTAACAGCAGGTGAAGTTCTGCTACAATGGCGGCTCCCGCGAGGCTTCAACTCCCGGCTGATGGATTACCCCCTTGGTTCCACTATGTGAAATCGGCCCACAGAGAGAAGAAAGTGAATAGTTGAACAAAGTTGTTAATTTTTTTTTTTTTCACACAAAAGTAGGCTATTCTCATCGCTTGATAAACTTAAGGTTGAGCTACTTTGATCACTTGGACTATTAACGACTTCTTTCATAACTTTTGTTCCGGCCAGTTTGGATCCCAAGAAGCCTATGGAGGAGTGATTCAGCTCTCAGATTGAATCAAAAATAATTTAATTTGTGTTCCAAATATGAACAGAAGTCTTACGGGGTTGGAACAATATGAGGGTGAGTAATTACTGACAGAATTCTCATTTTGGGATGAACTAACACTTTAAAATGGTGTATTTCTGGATGGCCATTTCTTTTAGCCAATCAAAAGGCGAATTCTGAAGGTATCCGCCCACTTCCTAAACTGAATGAAAGAGCCAGAGAGCGTTTCGAGTTCGGTTCACTCAGTTCAGTCAGTCGGTGTTTGTTGAGCAGCCGAGTAACTTACTCTCAACTCGTTTACTTATACGAATAATTAAGCATATCTTGTAGTCATCTGTCTAGTTAAGAAACTAGATGTTTGCACGCGTCGTCTTCTATGCAGTTTTGTAATGTAACCACACAGACGAAAAGAAGCGTATGACGCCAGAGTGTTTGTGGAGAAATGAAGATGTCCAGGAGCGGATCAGGTCTCCAACCTCTTAAAGCTACTGTTCCCTTCACACTGCACAAAGCAGCTGGAGCTGCCGTCACAAATACCACTTCAGGTGAAGTATATAACACACATCAGTGACTATCACACTTGATCTGAGCCACTTAATGTCCTTGAAGATTAACAGGAAATGATTGAGTATGAAAACACATTATTATTATTTGATTTTTTTTTTTAATGTGCTTTAAACTATCTAAACCCATACATAAATTGTTTTATTATGCTTATTTGAGCATTAAACTGTTTTGGGCTTTAAAGCTTGAAATAAAGTTTAAATATTTTGATGAAAACAAGTAAAAGTATTTTATGAAGCAACGCATTTTTATGATACTTGGAGAAGAATAAAGAATAAATATTTTCGATATTTCTCTAATCAAATAGTACAACACTGGTGACACTGATCATATGAACTCCTTTGTACTAAATGTCACATTTTCTTGCTTCCAGTGAAGCACAAGATGCTTTTTGAAACATCTCAAGTCATGGTGGAGCTACAGTGATATCTCCATTAAAGCAAAAGACAGACAATCTAAATGCTAAGACATTGTGAAATTCAGGTTACTCTTTACAGCTCAAATGAGAGATTCCATTGTATGTAATATATAAAGTATAATATATATTTTCATATCCAGTAATTCAATAATTTAAATGATCTATTCTAGACCAGTGAATACTGAAGTTTAATACAAAAGAGGATATAGGAGGAAACTTGCAATACACACATTTATAAGAACAAGATGTTTAAAAGCCATGTTTCCTCATTGAAGTGAATAGATAATAACTGCTGACCACTGGTTTTCTATCCATGCAATACATCAGGTGTTTTGTCTAAAAAACATTTTATTCAATACACAAGCTTTCTTGATTCCTCAGGTGATTGGACCAAAGCCGAGTGGTGTTTGCAGACTCGGATCCGACGCACACTATCCTTGGATGCGATTGTGGGGCCGTACTTGCAAGGCCAGTGGCCCAAAGTGGGTGAAAAACACATTCCCAGCAGACACGGCAGGGAGGATAAATCCACACAGGTGAATTGTGTCAATGGATGAATCATATGGGCCTGATTCAAATTATAATCTGAGTCCATAATAAATTCTTATTTATCATATCACCGGCTCAGCCATTAGTGATATTCTGTGAAGTGTGAGATATAAAAATAAAGAGGGCTTTTATCAATGATGTCATAGAAGAACCATTTTTGGTACCCCAAAGAACCTTTCAGAAAGGTCAAGTAATCATAGTGTCAAATCTAAAGAACCTTTTTCCACTATAAAAAAAAAAACCCTTTTGTGGTATGGAAAGGTTTGTTGGAATTCACCATAGATTCCAATAAAGAACCAAAATGAAGAATTGTATTGATTCTAGATCAAAAAAAATGTTTAAAGGTTCCATTTGATTGGAAGGTAGACAGTGGTATTCCAAATGCCATGGTACATGAAAATGATATTGTCCCCACATACAGACCTAGTGCATTCACTTTTTAGGCCCTGTTTACACCTGGTAGTAAGATGCGTTTTGGTTGATCGGATCTAAATACTGGTGTAAACGGGGTCTACAAGGTTTTGAGCTTGTCCACTTTAGACCACTTCCAGAGGTAGTCAAAAGCACATTTGACTGGATTGCTTTCGTAGTGTAGACGCTCATTTGGTAGAATGCGTTCGAACAGCCACAAAATGCGTAAACATTATGGAAAGCCCTAGCCAGACAGGATTTAAATTTTGTCTGCTGGAGACCCAAGTTTGGTTTGAAGATGAAAAACGTACCAAGCACAATGTTCTCTCACCATTTCTGATTTCTAACACACACTCACAGCGTTTGGTGTGCTCTTGTCTATCAGAGCAGTAACGAAAGACCCTTCCCTTGAAGAAATCAGGACAGAAGTTGTTGAAAGTGGACAAAAGAGATGGATTACCAGGAAATACCAGGTGTAAACACACAGGAATGTGTCTCCCTCGTTTACTTGCAATCCAACTAAAACACATCTTAATACCAGGACTGGTGCAAACAGGGCCTGCCTTCGAATCAACATCAGTTTCAGGTGGCCTCATCACAAGTGGATAAGTTTACCAACAGTGTGTGTCAGCTGACTCACCTGAGACTTATGTTAATAAGGCAAAACTTTATTTTACGACCCGCAAACAACTGTGTAAGTACACCAAAATGACGCTGTGCGTTTCTGTAATTATAGCGTACTTTCGTGTAGGTATAAGGGAACAATATGTTAAGTTTTTGGTAATAAAGGGGCAATAAGCAGATATACAACCAAATTATTTATAATGTAATTATTTTAAAACTAACAGGTACCTATATTCCAGACAAAAATTGAATGTCAAAAAAATATGTTCTTGTGCCATTTTACTGGGTAATTTTAACATCTGTGGGTTGAAAATTAAACGTTGGCAATATAAACTGTATATATAGATATAGCACAGTATGATAAGAAATTAATTTATTGGCTTTTCTTACTTGATATGGTAAGTCAACCCACAGATGTCAAAATTACTCTATAAAATAAATTATTTGCTTGTATATCTGCTTGTTACCCCTTTATTACCCAAAACTTAACATTTTGTTCCCTTATACCTAAACTGAAGTACGCTATAATTACAGAAACGATACACCATCATTTCGTTGTACTTACACAGTTGTTTGCGGGTCGTAAAATAAAGTGTTAACGTTAATAACAGTGCAAACAGAGCCATGCAGTACCATGGTAAATACCAGAGGTCCATTATATTTTCCAACACCATCACTGTAACGTGGTGTGCACCAACTAGGCTATTACATCACAGCCTGTGATTTACTGCAATCACTATGAACTTTAACCCTCAGCTGAGCTGTGAAGGGAAGTGAGCACATAAGCGTTTTATTTTTACGTATCATCTATTTTCTGTTCCTTAAAATATAAGCCAAAATATCATGCTTCTTTTTATATTGTTGACTTAAGTACACACTGAAATTATGAATTAGACTCTCTAAGGTAAATGTTCTTTGCTTGTGATGCTGGTTAATAACTCAATTTCTGATTGTACTATAGTTCACCTGAAAATGAGAATTGTTTATTTTACTTAACCCAAGTCAAAATTAAACGAATCATTTGTTGAAAATCCTTATTGATTTGTTAGGGGGATGTGGTGGCTTGTTCCAAAATCGTTCATCCATGAAACAACACATTTAGTGTTATGTTCACAAAGCTGTTTTTCCATTGGATGAAATCATGCAGGACAGATACGCAGATTGTTTCTTTTGCAGTGTGATGTCCATCTGCATGTAACGGTTTATCAAAAAATAAAAAATAAAAACTTTTTTGATTGGATTTTGCGATGTGGGCTTTGCACTCATAAGTGGAAGCAGATGAACACAAGCCTGCAGAGGGAGGGTTTAAGTGGACTAAACGATTGGAGAAGTCCCGCAAACATGTACGTCAGCAGCCATTTCCACCGGAAGATCCAGTTATGACATTTTGATTAAACACTATGAGGTCAAAAAACAAACAAACAATCATTCCCAAGAAGATCTATAACATGCAATTATAAAATAGATGGGGTGAATTTTCATATCATGCCAACTTTAAAATAAGGCCAAAAATTAGAGCCGATACCAATACAAATATTTGTTGGTTTCAAAATCTGATATTCCAATATATCGGCCGATATTTTTTTCCAGAAACGCGCAACAAAACATTAACAGATTTCCCTAACATTAGTTATTTGTAGTTATTTATGAGTTTTAGCTAAAATAATATGATAATGCATTTTAAAAAGAAACTTGTTTCTTTTATTGTCACAACAGAACAGACTGATGATAGTGGCATTAGCTAGCTTTGTGGTTAGCTAGTCTCTGATGAGCCATAATTTAGCAATGGATAACGTAATACTGCAAATTGTAAAACATACATTTTCAATATAACAGGCCAAGGAGAGATGATGCGTCTCATTGCTATAACTGTCACGCGCTATTAAAGAAATACTTCAGTCACATTGTCAAAAGTTAAAAGGACAGTCAGTCAACTACACTGTAACAACGTAACGTAACTATTACTGGCTAATTCCGCTTCACTCTCGGCTTATTTAACAGCAGCAAAACTGGACATGATAGTCACAAATGTTGTCATGCTTATTTGAGAACTGATGGCGATGTTCGAGTGTTGCCAACAGGGACGATGTAGAGTGCCCTCTGGTGGACAAACTATACAACTCCAACACTCATGGCATGGTTCAAACGTATTTCGTCCATTTTTATTTTATTTTTGAAATACTCATTTATCGGCCATTATAACTGCCAATACCGATAGTTTGGAAAATGACTAATATCGGCCGATAATATCGGCCTGCCGATATATCGGTCTGGCTCTACCAAAAATGCAACACAATTGCTGTCTAAGCAAAATAAAATGTTTAAAGTGTAGTTTTATGTATTTATGATGGCTGTTATTTTTGTAAAAGACACCACATGGATGGTTATCTGGAGCTGACACAAGAGCTGTTGGATTTCACAAACGCTCTGCATCATGGGGAAATTCAGAACATCTCCAGGATGGACGGGACATGTGTGCAGGTTCTTCGGTAAGTCATACATCGCAGTAAACATGCCACTTCAATACTGTTATGGAAATTGTTTGAAACTATAGAAAGTTCATGTGTGTTGACTCATGGAAAATGTATTACTTTCTATCACACTACATCGGTCTGTATATGTGAGTGAGAAAATGTCTTCTGTTTTTCTGCTCTCTTTTTTTTTTGTTCTTACACTGTTTTTGTTTCTAAGTTTTCCAAGCTGAAACAACAACTGCAACAGAAGCAAAGGTCAAGTTTTCCAGTTGGCAACCAAGAGAAACCGCACAACCAACATCAGGTACTAACACACACGCAATCATTCTCTCTTTCTCGCTGTTCTATGCTCCCTGGTTCCTCATCCACAATCCTCGTTTCTCTTTTCAACCTGAACATAAGATTAAACTGAGTTTTTTGGAATTATACTTAATTCAAATAGTAGCAGATACATCTCAGTGTATTGTACATTATAAAACAGTAGAAGATAGGGTAGCTCCGATTTAACCAAGATCACCAAAGTTAAATACAAATCCAGTGAGTGAATACCAGAATATCAGGAAGAGGGAGTTGGTTGGCAAGGGCTTTTAGCTCTGCATGTAGCACCACATCCAGTGGTACCCTTTATTAAATATACCCATTAGGCACTTATTTCCACTTTTCGAATATTTACTTCATTATTATTTTGAATAAACATCTCTCTGAGCTGATATGCGTTAAAAAATGGAGAAGAGTGGGATTGGAACAGGTGGATTCAAACTCTTGTCGGTCGCAGCAAAAGCTAAATTCACTATTCTTACTCATGCAACTGTTTGTTATCAAACAGGTTTCTTTTGTAAATTTTCTCTGTCTCAATCATACAGTTGTGGGTTAAGTTAGTGTAAATAGCCTCTGTCAACAAGGCAGGCTATTTGCACTTAGTGTTTTATTAAATGTTGGCTAGTCTCTTGTAGACAGACCTCCAGGGGGGTGTCTGCAAGTGAATTGGATCGAGTAACCCCTTTTTATCATATCTAAAACCCAATTCGACATGCCTGGAATGGCTTCCCAAGCCTCCGCTCGAAGGAAACGCTTGGGAAACGGGTAGCGCTTGCTGGGTGGAAGCCCTGCTTAAACTTGGGATCTGCTTTCTGTTGGGGATAAGTGGGTGTGGAAGCCGGCTTGGCGTGCTGCTGAGTCAACATCGATTTAGGATAACTTGAAGCAGCCAAGGAACTTGCTGCAACTCTTTGGCAGAAAATGGTGCGTCACCGGCGATGTCTTCTGTGCTGCCATATTTTTTTGTGTCGCATATGACTGTGATGTTGAAGCTATAAAAGGACGCCGGATCATAACAGTGTCAGCTTCTGTTCTTCGGCAAGCGTTCTGTGTTACTGTGTGTCTTATCTGGTGTTGTATTGTCTGTCATATACTGTATATCTATATCTGTGGCGACCATGGAGAAACAATATAGACAGTGGGAATGCCTCTGGCCCGCGCTATTTGAGCGAGGGTAACACACTCGCTTTGTGTTGTTTGTCTGGGAGTAAGCAGCATTTAAAGGCGCTGACCAAATGCCAGAGTTATCAATGTTGGTTGATAACATTGAGACAGCCTTGGCCCATATTGGTTTTCAGCGATAAATCGCAGTGTCCGCGTGAAAATATTGCTGCCCTGTCGAGTTCCCTTCCTCTCAGGAGGCCTGTAGAAAAATGAAATCGGTTAGTTCCTGCCATCCCTGAAATCCCAAATATAACGTCTTTCTGGACTGGTCCCCCTAGTAGTTTATCTAGACAAAGGAAAGGTCTTGAGTATCATCCACCAAAGTTCAGCTGGGTTGTGCACACACTGGTCAGCCCCGAGCAGGGTTAGGTTATGGAACAAGAAGTTTAGTCCCTCTTAGTAAAGGAAGCCATAGAGCAGGTTCCTACCTCAACAGAGGGAAGCCAGGTTCTTCAGCCAGTACTGAAGGATGTACTGAAGGATGTCCCAAGAAGGATGGGGGGTTTGGTCCTATAATAGATTTCAGGGTATTAAACCGATCTCGGAGTAGATGCAGGTTTAAAATGCTAACTAGTGTTGGGCGATATGCTCCATTTTCATATCGTCCTATCGTTAGCCTGTGAGATCGGCGATACACGATATTATCGTGAGGGGGTGGGGCTAACTTATTTGATTATTAACTTGATTATTGAGCCTACTCATTAATTTGCTTGTTTTATTAGCCTACTTCGTTTTATATACGAGAATCTTTTTTCTATTTTGCTAGCAAAGGTGGAGTGTTTATTAATAGGATCAGGTTATTTCCTGGTATAGTGAGGTAAAAAAAAGAGATCCTAATCCTTTTGTTTGTCAACGGGAAATTTACGGACACATTAGCCTATCCTCATGCCGTTACATGCAGCATTTTGACTAGGGTCTATTTCTGCACGAGATGAAAACACGTTTTAATAATTTCTTGGGTCAGAAAAAGTCGGGAGTTTGCGATATGTGCCCCCCTACCAGTGCGCTCTCTGCGCACTTCACATGCGCACAGTAAGCACGAAGTACGCGGGTTAATGTGTTTTAAATGCCGATAGAAGAGCAAGGGCCAAACGTCTAGCTGAGTCGATCGGTTTATACTTATACTTATGACTTGACTCTGATAAAGGAAACGTTTACATGACCACATGCATTGTCAAGTTTATTCAACATAATCAGGTTAAGAACGTCGTCGCATGTAAACGCGCTCAATCTCTGAAAGTGAAAGTAAAAACGGACTGCTTTCGGCATCTGCATTAACGCCGCGTTCCCTCAGAGACGACGATGATAACGGTGACTATAATACTATTTTAGTGATATTATTATTAATACTATTTAGTAATTGTATTGTTTTTAGTGTTAGTGTCATTAAACGTTTTGTTAATGTGTTACGGAAACAAATACTGACGAACAACGATGCCGTTTTCATCTTGGATCTGTAGGAAATTGAATTTTGCGTCTGTTAAAACGAGCACACTTGATAATTTGTGAATGGATCGCCTTGCAATTAAATTTTGATGTGGGATGTTTTTTAGTCTGTTTTAAAAACATTCTCTTAGAGGAGTCCTCATTAGTGCGAGTGCGTGTGTTGTTGCAATTGTTATGAGATGATGTCGTTGTAAATTTAGGCAAGGCAAATTAATTGTAGTTCCTAATATTCATTTAATAACAATACTAGCTTTATAATAATAATAATAATAGGCCTAATAATAATAATTTAATACATTATGGTAAAACGAGCCAATTATCGTATTGATATCGTCAAAGGCATCTGCCATCGGTGATATGTCAGACTATGGTCGATACACGATACTATCGTCTATCGGCACAACCCTAATGCTAACTATACCCATTATCGTGAGTCAGATCAGGTCCGAGGACTGATCTAAAAGATGCTTACTTCCACATATCCATCCTTCCCCAACACTTAGTTTCTAATGTTCGCTTTTGGGGGAAATGCGTATCAATACAGAGGTCTTTCATTTGTCCTAGCACTGTCACCTCGCACCTTCACGGAATGCACGAATGCTGCCCCTGCATTCTCAACCTCAACTACATTGATGACTGGTTCATTCTGACTCAGTCAGAGGAGATGTTGTTCTGAATCATTTAAGGTGCTTGGGATTAAGATTCAATGTCAACACTTTGGGTCACCTAAGAAGGGTTCCCCTGCTTCAAAGCAAACTATCAGCAGATGGAGTGTAGAAACTATTTCTTTAGCTTACGAGGCACGCAGCTTGCCTTCGCCTCTTCTGGTACAACCAGAACAGTGGCTTCATCTATAGCTCTACTAGCAGGAGTTTCCCTTCAAGAGTAATGTGCTGCTGCAGGCTACACCGGGCTGGAGCAAGTTGGATCTGCTACATGTGTGCTTTGGGTCACCTAAACTATGCCCGATGCCCTCTACACCAGCTACACAAGATCTATCGTCTTGAGTGTGCAAGATTGCTTCACAGCAGGGCATATATCTCTCAGTCTGGCACAGTGGGCATTTCGTTCCCCAATGTGTCGATTCTCGATAAGGCACGAGTCCCCTCGAAAGGGAACGTCTCGGGTTGCGACTTCTCTCGCTCCTGAGAACGACTTGCAATCAGAAGCTGATGCTGTTATGATCCGGCATCCTTTTATAGCTTCCGCATCACATCACATACTGCCACACCAATCAAGATTTGACGAGTTCCTTACAGGCCTCAGACACATCGCTCTGAAGGCGTTCCCCCAATGTGTCGATTCTCGACACAGCGTCTCGTTCTGTAACCTGAGGCGTTTTTTCGCAATCTTTCAAGAAATATTTTTTTTTTGTCCTTGGCCAAGTTTGGTTTAGATTTCTTGTTTACAGTAACCTACAGTAAAGTTGCTTAGCACACAGGACTAGGTCACCTTTCGGGCTTCAAGGCTGCAAAAAATCTGTGATTCTAATCACCAAACAGGCAGAGTGGCATTGATGTGTGAGTTCAATACAGTAACAAAGAGCTGGACAAGTATAATGTAATTTTATGAAAGACTATGTGAATGGCGCGGCAGGATTTTGAGCATCCCCGGGTGTCGTAAGCTGGACTCAGAGATGTACTCGAATTTTAGGACGCTCTGTCATTCGTCAGATCATCTTTAATAATTTCCATAACTCAAATATTGTAGTACTACTGTATAGTTTAGTAAATGTTAAACTTGTTTAAAAGTCAGTGGTCCATTATGTTCTGTTTTATTGTGTGAGATTTCGTAACTGTAGCAAACCGCTTCTCCATTGCCGTGTTTTGCCAGAAACTATCACAAAATACTTAGTATAAACACTTAGGTAAGAGTGACGTTTGTTGCAAAGCTCTTAAAAAAGAGGGATACCTTTGTGTTTTCCCCCACAGGGATACCTTTGAGTCATACCACTTTAGAGGTTTCATGCAACCGGGCACTGGACTTCACCATTTCATTCATTGGCCAAGGTCCGCCCAAAAGTCTGACCGGCACGTGAAAATATAACGTTGATGTCCCTACAATTACAATGTATTTTAAATGTGGATGTATTTTAAAAAGACTATGCTGTGAAATTCACATACTTCTGAAAATCCAGCATTTAGTTGATCCTGATAAGTGCTCATTGTCACAGTTGTATAAACACGATGGCTTTCTACTTTTATGAGGAGGCCATAAATGCTTTGTTTCCAGGCGGATTATGTACACACACGTCTCCAGGAAATCATGTAGAATTCAAGAATCAGATGACGACTTCCAATTTTGTGTCCCTTATGCATCAGGGTAGGGTTGCACCAGCCGTTCTTAAAGGATTAGTTCACTTTTGAAAAAACTTTTGCTGATAATTTACTCACCCCCATGTCATCCAAGATGTCCATGTCTTTCTTTCCTCAGTCGAAAAGAAATTTAGGTTTTTGATGAAAACATTCCAGGATTTTTCTCCATATAATGGACTTCAATGGGAACCGGATGGTTCAAGGTCCAAAAGACAGTTAATAACTGTTTCAGATGCAGCTTCAAATGTCTTTAAACGATATCAGACGATGAATAAGGGTCTTATCATGCGAAACGATCGGTTATTTCAAAACTTATTCCAAAAATGTAACTTTTCTAAGGACAAATGCTAGCCTTGCTATATTCTGTGACGTTTGTAACGTCACGTAATACGTAATTACGTTCAAAAGGTCACGGGCGACGTAGCCGGAAGTACAGAATCAAAATCGTCCGACATCGTTGTTTTACCTTTTAATTCCTTTTTTGTAAACGGCGTTTGAGTTAGTTTTCACGTTCAACCTAACCGTTCAACTTGTAAACACTCTGACTCTGTACTTCTGGCTACGTCGCCCGTGACCTTTTGAAGGTAATTACGTACTACGTGACGTTGCAAACGCGCCTCACAGAATGGAGAAAGGCTAGCATTTGTCCTTAGAAAAGTTACATTTTTGGAATAAGCATTGAAATAACCGATCGTTTCGCATTATAAGACCCTTATTCATCGTCTGGTGTCGTTTAAAGACATTTGAAGCTGCATCTGAAACTGTTATTAACACTATCTTTTGGACCTGACCATCCGGTTCCCATTGAAGTCCATTATATGGAGAAAAATCCTGGAATGTTTTCATCAAAAACCTAAATTTCTTTTCGACTGAGGAAAGAAAGACATGGACATCTTGGATGACATGGGGGTGAGAAAATTATCAGCAAAAGTTTTTTTCAAAAGTGAACTAATCCTTTAAGTTCTTTCTTAAATTGTAACGTAAAGTCCACACTAGAGGCTTAGTAGCTACTAGCTAGTTTGTAACTAACTCTTTACTTTATTCCGTTGCACCATTTGTTCGTAAGGTAGAACGTATCTAGTAAGTCGTAAACTCTCCGTAAAGTAATGCGTAGTCGCATAATATGACGTTTAGCCTCGATGAACCAATAGCAGCCTTCAAATGCGTGAGCAGAAGTTGTGTGGAAATGTTGTGAATTTCAGTTTATCCTTCATTCTTACTTCTTTTACCTCATGTTACTAACGGTAAAAATAAGTTTCCATTTAATACGATACTTGATCATGAATAACATAAGTGTTTTTATATATGAATAACATTCAGAAACTGTATTTGAAATGAAATTAATAAGCATCAATTAATAAATATTGATACAAAAAAAAAGAAAATATGTTTATTGATTATGACCAAGGGGGTAATCCATCGACCGGAGAGCTGCCATCTTGTAGCAGAACTTCACTTGCGTTAGCATTCCCATTGACTCACATTCATTTTGGCGTCACTTTGACAGCGAATAACTTTACATCTGAGGCGTTTGAAGACCCCATTTGGCCTTTATTTATTTCTAAAGAAACACAACAATGAATAAAATGCTCCATTACCTTGTAGCTTATGTTATGAAGCAGTTTTAGTGAAAGTAGGCTAATGATTACGTCATACCCACGCGACTCTCTGTCGCACTGATTACCGTATGGACAGGAGAAGAAGCTCACGCGCAATCGGGAAACGTGGAGGCAAAATGACAAAATAATTAATCAGAATACCTAGCAAAAGTTTCTTCTGCTCCTAGCTTATGGACAGCTCCTACACACACTCTCCGCCTCTGCAAGTTTCGGAAGAAAATGATTCAGATTTCTCATGCCACAGCACTAGAAGACAGACGGGTTGCTCACGTCACATCTCGCCAAAAATGGGCTTCAATCGTCTCAATGGAGTTCCAATGAGATCGCTCTGTCCATTTTTTTTACTGTCTATGATTATGACGGATATTAGACATGCACAACATGTACCGATGCACACAGTGGCGCTGTTTAGGACGGGTTCATGTTAAAGAGCTGCTAACAAAGTAATCTTTTCACATAATGTTCTCTCTCCTAAAATGTAAGCTAATGTAAATGTCAGCATTGTCATATATGTGTAAAGAATTGAAGTCTGTCAGGTAAAAGAAGAGCTTATTGATTAGGGCTGTCAAACGATTAATCGCGATTAATCGCATCCAAAATAAAAGTTTGTGTTTACATAATATATGTGGGTGCACTGCATAATTATGTATATTATGTATATTTAATGAAATGTATATTTACGAAAAAATATTATTTATATATTAAATATTTATATTTGCATACCGTAATAAATCTATATACAGTATATACATTAAAATATTTCTTAAATATATACAAGCATCTGTGTGTATTTATATATATAAAATAATTATACACAGTGTACCCACATATATTATGTAAACACAAACTTTTATTTTGGATGCGATTAATCGCGATTAATCGTTTGACAGCCCTATTATTGATGCGGTTCATCTATCTGATATTTTATTCCAACCGTTACTCCTGATCGGAGGCTGCCGTAAATATTTAGTTGGCATGTAGAGTTATGTTTAAACTAAGTTTAATGGTGCAACGGAAAATTATTTAGTAGTGCGTAAGTTGTAACTTAGTGCCCATTTATACGTCAAAACTAGGCTAAGTTGTAACTTGTTGTAACGGTTGGTTCAACCGGCCCCTGACGTTTGGTCCATGTGAGTGGCTTCTGAGGCTGAGCCTAAATGTTGCTTGCATTTAAGGTGGGACCCCAGTCATATCCAAGGATCATACCATAGAGACACTGTTTTTTTGTTTTTTTTACTTAGTTAGCAACCACCCAGAACTCCTAACAAAGCAATATGCTAACAGCCACTTACAACATCTTAGCAAAATGGCAACACCCTAGCAACCACCCACAACACTCTAGAATAGTGACAGTGAGTTTTGCACAGGCAAACAGCCTTTACATTTTATTTAAAAGATGTAAACATTAGTTATTGTCTGTATTATTTATCTAGCGTTTTTTTGCGTGAAAATCTATGATTGCATTTTACGAATCAGTGTGCTATGACACATTTTTGCATATGAAATTACTGTATAATAAGATCCTCTTTGTATTGTAGTTCAGGGGGCTCATTATTGGCTGTACCAAAGCTCATCAAATTGAAATGAGTTTAGTGGTCTGTGGGTGAAGCCTTCAAATTCACCCAAGTGATATATTCTGACACATGTACACAAATGTTAGAGGAAGTGTGGAGGATTGCAAAATGTAACAGGAAGAGTGGTTGTCAAAAGCTGTTCTGCTTTAATGCTGGCCTGCTGCAAACAATTCACACAATACAGGGTTATTCATTTCAGATTTTTATTTCATTTTGTATTATGGTTCCTAATTGCAGTTTAGTTTTAGTTGGAAATGAAGGTGTTTTTCTGTCTATTGTCATTGTTAGTTTTTATCCAATCACTACATGTTGTAGCACCACATTGAAGGTCATCCTTCTGCCACATGACACGCACAGCACTTTATTAGATTGGTACTGTACTACAAGTTTTATTAAACACATGTACAACAATGAAGGAGACTGCAGTACTCATTGACAATGAAGTGAGTAGTGAGATATAAATATTGTCAAGTCATCTTTATTTATATAGCACCTTATACAATAGACATTGTTTCAAAGTTGCTTTAAAGTGATAACAGGAGAATTATTCAGAGATTCAAACAGTTCAATTTGGCTGTACACTTGTACAGCAGCTCTAAAATAAAAGTTTCATTTTTCAGCTGAAGTCAGTCCAGTGTTGATACAGTTCTGTGGTAAAGATCATCAATTATTAAATTAGTTAATTTTATCATCATTCATCTTCAGGGCATTAATGATTCAACTCCATAAAGTGGATCCACTCAGGAACACACTGAAGAACAACTAGTTGCTGATAGACAGACAGACAGACACACACACACACACATCACACACATACGCTCTTGCATATAAATAAACATTAAAAAAAATCCCTTTATCTTGGCTAACTTCTTAAATTGTGAGCATGAAATGTGTTATATATCTGTGGAAATTGTCATCATTCTCTTGAGTTTCAAGGTGTATTGCATGTCTTTTAAAGTCTGTTTGTTGTTCACCTACAATTTGGGGATAGAAATTTAGGAAACAAAGAAAAACTCTGGCTCAAAATAAAACCAATAGATAAAAGTTGCCTTGTAATCATACTAGTACAAATATGTGTGCGTTTCCTGTCTTCTCAGGCATGGGCTGCATCATTGACTCGACTGCCGTCACGTCTGCAACACAGTGAAGAGAGACTAGATCAGGAGCTGGAGAAAGTCTTCATACATTATTCACCTGTTGACCACAGTGGAGTAAGTTTCTTAACACTAAACACTGTTTGAACTGATTATGAAGGCTGATGTCATGCTAATTTGCATATTATTTAAACTTGATAACCGAAACAAACCTGCACAACTGGGAACGTTTGTAACTGTATTTGTGTTTTTCTTTTCTTTAGCTATATGAGGTTCCTGATGGCCACAGGGCTCCTGTTCCACACCTGAGCTCCAGGAGTGGGTTTCAGATCGAGTCTTCTTGTGTATCTTCCCAGTCCTCTTTATCTTCATTCACATCTTGCACTCCACAGCGCCCTTTAGATCTTGATACTGGTAGGTCTCTTTTTTTTGAACTCTCACTGTATGTAATGGTGGACAGACGCCCCTGTTTCCGGAGACAATCCTGGTTTTTGGTGTCCTGTCCCCGACTAAATCTATCCAAAACATTCCTCAAATACACAACAAAAAGCTTGATTACCAGAGCAATTTTGTAGTGATTATTTTCACCAACAGAGGGCTGCAAGCTACACTGATTAAAGTGAAACTGTTTTACTTTTTGTACAGTATGTACTGTATACCAGGGATTGAACAGGGTGTGTTTGTTTCACACACAATTTTAGACATTTCCAAAAAAGCAAAAAAAATTCCCACACACATCTTAACTATATCACATGGGTAGAAGTATATGGAAGCCTTTTTCTGCCACTGAATAAAAAAAAAGAAAAAAATAATTGTGACTTTTTATCACACAATTGCAAAATAATTGTGACTTTTTATCACACAGTTGCATATTATAAAGTCAGAATTGCATGATATAAAGTCAGAATTGTGTGATATAAAGTCAGAATTGCGTGATATAAAGAAAGAATTGAGAGATATAAAGTCAGAATTGCGTGATATAAAGTCAGAATTGCGTGATATAAAGTCAGAATTGTGTGATATAAAGTCAGAATTGCGAGATATAAAGTCAGAATTGCGTGTTATAAAGTCAGAATTGCGAGATATAAAGTCAGAATTGCGTGATATAAAGTCAGAATTGTGAGATATAAAGTCAGAATTGCGTGATATAACGTCGGAATTGCGTGATATTAAGTCAGAATTGCGTGATATAAAGTCAGAATTGCGAGATATAAAGTAAGAATTGTGTGATATAAAGTCAGAATTGTGTGATATAAAGGAAGAATTGCGTGATATAAAGTCAGAATTGCGAGATATAAAGTCAGAATTGCGAGATATAAAGTCAGAATTGTGTGATATAAAGTCAGAATTGCGTGTTATAAAGTCAGAATTGCGAGATATAAAGTCAGAATTGCGTGATATAAAGTCAGAATTGCGAGATATAAAGTCAGAATTGCGTGATATAAAGTCAGAATTGCGTGATATAGATATAAAGTCAGAATTGGATGATATAAAGTCAGAATTGCGAGATATAAAGTAAGAATTGTGTGATATAAAGTCAGAATTGCGTGATATAAAGTCAGAATTGCGTGATATAAAGTCAGAATTGCGAGATATAAAGTAAGAATTGTGTGATATAAAGTCAGAATTGTGTGATATAAAGTCAGAATTGCGCGATATAAAGTCAGAATTGCGTGATATAAAGTCAGAATTGCGTGATATAAAGTCAGAATTGAGAGATATAAAGTCAGAATTGCGTGATATAAAGTCAGAATTGCGTGATATAAAGTCAGAATTGTGTGATATAAAGGAAGAATTGTGTGATATAAAGGAAGAATTGCATGATATAAAGTCAGAATTGTGTGATATAAAATCAGAATTGTGTGATATAAAGTCAGAATTGTGTGATATAAAGTCAGAATTGCGTGATATAAAATCAGAATTGTGTGATATAAAGTCAGAATTGTGTGATATAAAGTCAGAATTGTGTGATATAAAATCAGAATTGTGTGATATACTGTAAAGTCAGAATTGTGTGATATAAAGTCAGAATAGCGAGTTATAAAGTCAGAATTGTGTGATATACTGTAAAGTCAGAATTGTGTGATATAAAGTCAGAATTGTGTGATATAAAGTCAGAATTGTGTGATATAAAGTCAGAATAGCGAGTTATAAAATCAGAATTGTGTGATATACTGTAAAGTCAGAATTGTGTGATATAAAGTCAGAATTGTGTGATATAAAGTCAGAATAGCGAGTTATAAAGTCAGAATTGCGTGATATAAACAATAACTAAACAATTATACTTGTATGAATTACATTTACCGGAATAACTTTGCTCAATAAGTCTAAAATGGAAAATAATAAGCCTAATTAGGGCTTATTAAAATAGTAAATACAATAATGCAATATATAGTATAATATGGTAAAGATCCATTTCCAAAAGCACAAAAATTAAAGAAAAAAGTTGTAATATCCATAAATGGTTCTTAAAAGGCACTTTTATAAAATAAGATCTATTATTATTATTATTATTATTAAAATGTAATTTCTATAACATTATTATTAAGTTGCCTATACAAATCCTAACCTTTAAAATTTTAACCTTTAATATTATAGTAATGTACCAAATTGATATTATTCAAACCAGATAAATAATTATAAAGATAGAATGATAGTATAGGAACTGACAACTAATAAAAACATACAAGAAATATTTTGTCACATTTTTTTTTGTTTATAAACAACTACTATGTATTCTTTTCTAATTTGAACTGACTGACCCTGCTCTGTCCTGCTCAGTTGGGGAGGTGAACTCATGTATCCTGATGTTATCCTCATCACCACGGCCTAATAACAGCTACTGCTTCCAGAGAGATCCGCCAGAGGGCTGTGAGAGAGTCCGAGTGTGTGAAGAGAACGTGTAAGTAGGCATACCATGACAGGGTGTTGCTATGTGGTTGCTGAGGTGTTCTGAGTGGTCACTGCATTTTGCTTATTCCTATCCTCTAATTCAGCCCACCGTGCTTGGATGAGGTGTATGTATCCTCTTGCCCCGACCCCAATAAAGTGAACTTCACCACACACACAGGCTCAGCCTTCTACCCTGTCAATCTCCCGAAGCCCCTCCTTCCTCCAGTGGACTTCCTGATCTGCAGCCTCTCCGTTTCTCCAGGGTCCTGCTGGGTGGGACAGTGATGACTTAATAAGAAGAAGTGACTGTATCTTTAAAAACACTTGTAACGTTGTACTTGCTTCAGCATCCTTACTATTAAAAATAATATTTTTCATTGTTTAGCAGTGAAAAATGTATACTTTTTATTTTCCAATTTAAAAAGAGATTGATATTCAAGTAAATTACATTTAAATTTCTTTAACGAGATGGCAGACAGGACAGATTTATGGTTTAATAATAAAAAAGGCTGTCCTTTGAATATTGAACATGGAAGAATGAGTAGATGTGTTTGTTATATAAAGACAAATGGTACTATTAAGGCAATGCTTGTATTTTAAGTCAGTATTTTACCACCCAATTTTTTATATTTTTTCCTTAGCTTTATTTAGGTATTGTGGGTGGATTTCAGTGGGAATATTCATGTCATTGGATTTAAGGTGAATTCCGGTCATATTTACATTCACCCCTTTACATTTGTGCTTTTTACAAAAGTATATATTTTTTTAGTTTAAGAAATGTTAAAATTGTGTACCTTGAACATATAAATGTTAGTTTTATACTTGTGTAGGTGAATCTGGATATGAATGTAAGCTCAGTTGAGTGGTCTGTACTGTTTGCACATAAGTTTTTGCTAAACATAAGCTATTTGACTGCAAAGTATTACTTTATTCAATGTGCTCATTTAATGCACAATTTTTGTTGATGTTTTATGGATATATATAAATGGATGATAGTTTTACGATCTCTTTGACAGACAGCTCTCAGATTTAATTAAAAATATCTGAATTTATGTTCTGAAGATCTTATTGTCTTATTGGTTTGGAACGACGTGAGGGTGAGTAAATGGAAAGAATTCTTTTTTGGGTGAACTTTAAACCTTTTAAATTAGGAAATTTGGTTTAAATAGCTTTTATAAACAAGCCTTTAGGAAAAAAATATACTGTGTGCATTTTGAGACAAAATGCCACTGACATATTTTAATATAGTTTCAGTTCAAACAGCTTTAACATGCATTTTAGTGGGGGGCTGAACTTAAAGGAGTAGTGCACTAAAAAAAAACGAGTCATGACTCGAAGGGTCCTAGATAGATAAGAACCTTATTCATCGCCTGGTGTCATTTAAAGCCCTTTGATGCTGCAATGAAACTCTCATTTGGACCTTGAACTGTTTGCTCCCCAAATTAAAATTCATTATATAAAGAAAATCCTGGAATGTTTTCATCAAAAAACTTAATTTCTTTTCGGCTGAAGAAAGAAAGACGTGCACATCTTGGAATGACATGGCCCATGGGGGTGAGTAAATTATCAGCAAAAGTTTCTTAAAAGTGAACTACTCCTTTAAGCCTTGTCTGTGAAACTGGGCAATGTTTTAAAACAATAACGTGACCAGTTTGTAGAATTTCACATGATAGAGGATCCAAAGAAACGAAATGTAAGCTATTGCAGAAGTCTTGGCCAAATAATTGACTTTTATTCACCAGTATCTAATAGACCTCGATCATTTTGTCTGACTACGACAGTACAGTGCCTAGTTTTGATTTATTTTTGATAAGGATGATGAATATTATCTCGCAACATGACATCATGACTTTTACGTAAACATATACGTCACTTTCGCGCCAGGTGGCGTGTTATCTCTACGCATTTTGAGCTATCCGCGTGTATCCGCGTGTATGCGTATATGTCTACGCCATTAACGTCCGCGTCATTCCGCGTGTCCGAACACGCAGTCAAATCCCCAGTCATAAATGCCATTAACCCCAGTGACGGTTAAGTTTAGGGATGGGGTTGAGGTAAGTCATATTTTTTTTTTTCCTAGGATGGTAAGGGAACAGTCATAAATGCCATTAACCCCAGTGATGGTTAGGTTTAGGGACGGGGTTGAGGTAAGTCATATATTTATATAACGTTAAGTCAACGGCGTTCATAAACACGCTGAAAGGCGATTATGCGTCTTGATAGCACGCCAAAAATGGAAATACGAATTGGCGTGTCATACACACGCTACTTCATGAGATCAGTCTGTATCTCCATATCTCGCTCCCGATGTGTGAATAAGGCTCAATGGAGTAATGTGTTACCATGGGCGCCCTCTGTCGGCTGCCGCCAGAACGGAACACAACACACTCCGAGCAACTGCACAAGGTCTTCCACAGCGCATTTATATCAGGCATCCCTTTACACTCCACTCACTCGCCTACACAGATGAGTGTACGACGAACGCCTTTTTAAATCCTGCTGTATAGAAATATTTTTGGATTTTGACATGCTGAATACCGTACTGAAACAACTGAAAAGCCACCCGGCTGTAAGTATTTCAAAATTGATACTGATGATGTCTGTGTTACTGATGAGAATTTAGGCGTCACGTTTGCTGATACATCCTCTGCTCGAGGGATGATGCACTTCATTTAAATAGGCTGTTTGGTAAGGTGTCGGATGTCATGATGGAGAGTGTGTTGGCACTTCCCAAATATATTTCTGTCTATATACCGTGTGCTCGTGAATTCCCCATAACAGCAGTGCCTGAGCACGTACGCCCGGTGTAGGTCGCGGTATCTGTCATAGGCTATATGGCTGTTCAGCAGCTGTCAAGGGCATTGAGGTTAAATCAGCTTTGCCTCTTTTATTCATTTAGCATTAAAGCTTCCTATCGAAACTTACAAGATTTAAGCATGAAAATTAGGACAGAACATTAGCCTGTGTGAAGGAATTCTAATGTGGCAACATTTTCTAGACATTTTCTTGTACAGTAGCCTATAGTCTGCAGTTCAGGATTTAATATACTTACATGTACATCAGAATCAATATAAAAACCCTCAGAGAACGTCAGTGTCTCAAAACCTAGTGAGCTGCCTTATTCTAGGAAACAGGCCTAAACCCAGGGTTTAATCTGATAACAGGGTTGACATTTACAGGCAGCATAATATTTATAGGCTGGTCATTGGTTGTTCAGCTGGACTGTTGACCAGCTTAGTCATTTTTCTGTCATTTATTTATAATTCTTTTTTTCTTTAAAGTTGATTCCTCTCTTTATTTTCATCGGTGGTGGAGCGACCATGTCTATGCTTTACCTGGGCCGCCTCGCCCTGAAGAACCCCGACTGCTCGTGAGTAACCTTTTCATTCAGTACCTTGTCAAACATATGGAGAACTGACTAAAATATGTCAACAGATGGGATCGCAAGAACAACCCAGAGCCATGGAATAAACTTGGACCAAATGACCAGTACAAGGTGAAAGCAACATTTACGTAGACCACTTGTTTTTGCCCATTTATGATTATGCAGCTTTTTATATTTAGTTATTATAGTAACCTTCCAGATAGTCTCATGATGGTTGTAATCTGTACTTTTTTGTTAGTGTATTAATATTTAATAATATAAATGAACCAATTTGTCCCCTCCCACAGCTCTTCTCTGTCAACATGGACTACTCTAAACTGGAGAAGGACAGGCCTGACTTCTGAGCAAAGTGAATCAGCTGGGTGTGTTCAACGCTGCACTTCCTGCCTCGGAGGTCTATTCAACATGACATCAGACGCTAGAATGTGAATCACCATTTAAAATCTTTAAAGAAACGTGTGAAAGTGAGGACATACACATAAGCTATAAGATCTGAGTGTATATCTTTAGTCAGAAACAATATTTTCTTTACACACTTATTGACACCTCAAAGGGAATGCGACATCAAATCTGTAACAATATCATCTATAGTTATCTTCCTGTTATCCAAATAAACAAGACAGACAGCAATAAAAGAAGCGTGTGTGTGTGTGTGTGTGTGTGTCAAGTATGGGGAAAATAGAATATACAGTAGTATACAGTAATATATAGTAGGCTATAAAATTCATTATGTGTATTGAAAGTCCCCAAATCTAACACTCAATAGATGGCGCCATTTACTCAAAAACGATTTTGGTGAGAGACTTAAAAGGATACTCCACCCAAAAATGAAAATTCTGTCATAATTTATTCACCCTCAAGTTGTTGCAAATCTCTATGAGTTTCTTTCTTCTGCTGAACACAAAGGAAGATATTTTGAAGAACGATTGGAACTCCATTGGCTCCATTGACTTCCATAGTATTTATTTATTTTTTCTACTATGGAAGTCAATGGTGCCAAACAACTGTTTGGTTCCAGTCGTTCTTCAAATCTTGCTTTGTGTTCAGCAGATGAAAGAAACTCATAGAGGTTTGGAACAACTTGATGGTGAGTAAATGATCATTTTTGGGTGGAGTATCCTTTTAAAGAGATAGTACACCCAAAAATGACAATCTACTTATAGAGTGATCTATCTATCACTCTATAAGTAAGATTGTGATGCTTTAATGAACAATGAATGTTGAACAACAATAATCTGGGGCTGTCTGTGTCCTTTGTCATGAAAGGGGTTCAATTATTGTTTTTGGTGATGCAACAGAAAATTAGGGTCCTAAAACTGCAGCCTCCAGAAGTGCAGGAATACCCTTCTCCTTCATTTAGGCTAGTTAAAGATCGAATGTGGAAAACCATTTTGCGATACCACTTTTTTCTGAAAGGGGGCGATATTTGCAAATAAAAACACAGTACATCAATATACAAAACTGAAGCTGTGTATAATAATGTTAATGTTCGATTAAATCAGCATTTAAATGTACAGTAACAAAGAAAATGGTAAAGGTTGTGTTTGTTTTAATATGATTATTTCAGTGAGGCTATTTGCCTATAATTCGATGGCTTTTAATTTTTAAAAAAGTTCTTTAAAAATTAACTATCTAGCTTAGGTGTAAACAACCAAACTAAACAAATCATTCAGGTTTTCGATGCAAAGTTGTATTTTGCTTCCGAATCCTAAGGTGTATTATTACATGCGTCTCTTGCTTGAAAGAGTCTGGCCGTGTAAACTTACTCTATTAAGTTTCTCTCCATTGTTAAAAACATAAAGAGCTCCCCAAACATTCTTCTCTTTGAGCTGAGCGAATTCCTGATCTTTCCTATTAGAAGCTGCAAACATGACAGAAATGGGTCTTAATCTTGGCCATGAAAACAGACATTACACTCTCATAACAGATCTATTACCCAAGAGGCCCTGTAGAATAGGTTTATAAGTGGGTGTGGGAACTTTGAGGTTTCTGTGA